AGCACGTTTGTTTACAGCTCTATTTTGACAGATAGCAGTTAGCATTTGATTTATTAAATAATGCCCTACTGCATTTATGTGCAACATACCTTATACAAGTCTCCACATATTTCAAGAAAGGACCTTAAGCTATGTCAAGACAGGGCACCATGACCCTTTTCATTTCTGAAACTGGGAAGTCAGTGATGCAGAAAGGAGAAGCAGCCTTCCTTTGAAGGGACAACTGGTCAGAGGCAATACCAGGAAGAAAAAGCCAATCTCCTGAGTCCTGACCAATGCCTGTATCCACTAGACAGTGTGACCTTCAGACCTTTCCAAAAAGTAACCATCTGTGGTGATGAAATTAAGGAAATGAAAGGACATTTCTGCATCAAAGGCTTCCTTTCAGCACTGATTAAACCAGAAAATGTGTCACTGCTTTGACATAAAGCACTGGCAAAAGGCCCCACCTTGCAATCTGTGTATTTGCATATGCAGGTCAGGAAGGGAAAATCCTCCCTTCTCTGTGTGCTGGACCTTCTTGAAAGGTTAATGATTATGTTTAGCTAGAAGTAAAGTTAACCTTTGTGAAAGGTTTCTCTGAGCAAATCTTTGACTCAAGTGCCTTCACAGAACACTCCACACAATGACTGCCATTCCAAGGGCAGATGCAAGTAAACAGCAATGACTTCAGGGCTTTGAGCACATTTTCATGGGAAAGAAACAACCTATTTTGGGAAACAAGCAAAAAGCTTAAAAATCATAGGTGGAAAAAATTGATTAGACAGTGACCTAACTAAAAATTACACATGCTGTAGACACTTAAGTGAATGACTGAAGTGTTATGCAGTAAAAAGTAAAGGTTTTCCTTCATGGTCAAATGAGCAGGCAGCACCAGAAGCAAAGAACACACTTTTCCCACTTACAACACAAAATTAGAAAGATTCGCTGCCAGATGATGTCAGGGAGGTCAGACACAGACGGACTCCAAAGAGGATTAAACAAATCAATGGAGGACAGATCCATTAGTGATGATGAAGCAGGATGGCCCCAAATCCAGCTTTGGCTAAGACCAGTCCTTAACTGCTGATTGCCAGAAGAAAAGGGGACCCTTCCACACCCACCTTTTCCCTTGTGATTTTGGCCCCACCATCTGCTACAAGCCCAGATGAGCCCCAGTACACTGAACTAGACCCACCAATATAGTCTGACACACTGAGTCTTCTTCTTTCTCTCACAGGAGATTGTAGCCACGATCTTTTTTGCATCACTCCTAAATGTTCAGCATGCCACAGATCTGTAGTTTCTTTCCCTAAGAGGTCTCCCAGGCCTAACACACATCCTCAGCCTGCAGTGCCTCCCCTTACAGGACAATGGACTGTTCCCATGCCACAGCCACCACAACAAAAGCCAAGACAGAAAAAATTATGCAGGGTGTGAGTTTGTGCTGAGATCACAACAGGTGAAGGAGGTGACTCCAGGAGACTCCTGGGTGGCCTGAGCTTTTGCTTTTGCTGCTGGGAGATCTCCAGAGCTGCTTGGGAGGACTGTCACAGTCCCACAGTCCCAGCAGCTTTCCTCCAGGAAAAGCAAAAGCTCAGTGTCTGAGAACCTGCCTGTACCAACACAATAGTTGCAAGCGATGAAAGGTGGTCATTTTTGCTTCCACTGAGCAAATAAGACTTTTTAGAAACACCAGAAATCCTGGGATAAGTGATAGGAAACAGAACCCTGAGGAACCCCGCGAGCCCAAGCCTGGAGCGCCCTCTGGGGGTAAGAGACGGGAGGGCCACGTACCCCAAACTGCTTCAGACAAGTCCTGGACCAAACCAAACCTTCCCTTAAGGAATCCGTGGTGAGGCCTATACTTGCCTGGACAAGAAAGGAATTATGTATCCATGGTTGGCTGGATTCTCCTTCTCTCTGTCCTCATTTTAAGAGGCTTTCTTTGGGAAAAGGTCTTTCTTCTCCATTAATACAGTGACCAAGGAGCGTTGAGACAGGGATGCCTTGACATTACAAGAATAATTGCATAAAAAACATAAAATGAAACTGAGCACACCCCTAAACTTTAGACCAAACATCCCCAGTGCAGAAGCCTGGTGCCAGTGCCACAGGAGCAAAGCTGGGAGGATGCAGAGCTCCACAGGCCCTCACAATCCCACTCAGCCCTTGCAGCAGCGAGGCCAAAGCTTTGCTCACAGCAGGCCAGAGCTTAAACAGGACCTGCTAGTTGCCTCATTTTGTTCCCGGTTTCCCATGGAACAGAAGAATGAAGCCACATGTGCTGAAAAATATTCCCGGAGGGAGCGAACAGGAGAGGGCTCAGCTCCCAGAGAGAACTAAACAGTCTGCACAGGGGCAAATTTCACAGGGCAATATTGAGCAGGCAAGGGAGCTTCTCTCTCTGCATGTGTCTCTGTCCCCAGGCCCAAAACAATGCTCGTGGTTTGTGTCCTGCTGTGTTTAACTTCATGCCATTACCACAGCGCTGGGAACAAGAGTCACAACCCTCCTGTTGTAGCCAGACAACAAAATGTGTCATAAACTCAGCTCCCCTTCTTCTCAGACTTCAATCAACATACAGGAGCACTTGATGAAGCTACATAAATAAAATTAGGGAGCAAATTTTGCAGCTGCTTGTGCACCAAAAAGTCAATTTAGGGAGTCACATTTGCTCAGCCAAGGACATGGCTCATGTGTTCAGTCACAGATGAGCAATATGAACCTGGGATAACAACACTGATAATGAACTGCTTCCTAGAGAACAAGGATTGTTTACGGACAGTATTTGGCGAAAAGTTTCAGCACTACTGGATTTGAGAACACTGCAGACAAATCCTACACAAAAAGAAAGCAACAGATGCAACGAACTTTCAACATTTCTGAAGGGAGGTATTTCCACTGCAGTTTTAAAGTCCAGTAAAGGCTGAAAAAATTACTCTGATGAAACAAAACGTAGGCAAAGCCCAACCCACCACACAAAGCTCCCAGCCTGAGATGAGCAACCTTTCCTTCCAGCAGAAGGAAAGGATCTGGCCACCAAGGTGCTTTGTGCAACAGGTTATGCACAGGACATGGTTCCTGGAAGCAGCACATGTCTGAAGCCACACCCTGCCAGGTGCTGCTAAACAGCTGGATCTTGTGCCAAAGGCTCTTCAAGTCACAGTAACCTCCCCAGAACATCACAAGGAAACTCTGAGTTGCCCTCAGAGCTCCGTTCCCGAGCTATTTATCATAAACTTCCGGTCTTCCATACTAAATGTGCTAAAAACGTTCCTTCAGAGTAAGTAAAGTGACACATTAAATCAAGTTTTCCCAGGGATGAGGCTTGGGTTAAGCTGTTTATGGTACATCTTTGCACCAGGGTATGTTAAGTGGTTTCAAACACAGTGTGTTGCACGGCACTGCACTCCAGTTTGGGCAAGAGGAGGTGATTTTACCAAAACCAGGCATGTGGGCTCAATTAACAGCCACCCCGCCTTCCACTCCACACAATAGGCCTTTGTTTGGGGCCTGGCACTGCATGGGGAGAATCAGAGCACAGCCCCAGAGGAAGCCTTGCCAGCAGATACTTTGTCTTGCAGAACTGAAGTCCCCTCTGGTTTTAATGATCCAAGAACTAATGGGGTGTCAGAGGTTGGAAATACTCTCTTCAGTCAACCAGAGCAGAAATGCTGTTGACAACAACAAAGCCAACCATCACTGGCTCCAACTGGCAAAACTATTCCAGAGCTCCAGAGAGCTCTGTCTCCGAACTTAAGCACCACAGAGTGATCAACCCAGACAGAGCAGAGAGCTCCCAAATTCCCTGGACACAAGTGCCATCACTACGATTTAGGGCCCAGCAGGCTTTCCAGGAGATGCTGCTGATGCCCCACACCAAATCAAGGCTCTGGGTCTGAGTATTCTTCTACAGGCTGAGATGAGAGGATGTCTAAGTGGTAGTTGTGCTGATTCCCACTAAATGGTCTGGAACCCTCTCATGGATTTCAGCAGCAACCTCTTCCTCAAAGGGCACAACAGAAGCACAGGCTGTCTCTGCCTGTTAACTTTTGTCTAATTTTTGAACACTACAACAGTCACCAAGCAGCAGGCAAACAACTGAAGAAATGACTACTAGACTGAAACTAAGTTTTCGGGACTCATAAACAGACAAGCTATGGAGACCACTTCATCTCCAAAAGTTAACCCAAGCTCCAGAAGAAAATAAACCAATCCAAAACACAGGAAAAAAACCCCTCACAAATCTTAAACTCTCCAAGGGCCAAGAGTTTCCTTGCTAGGATGGTCCATGCGCTGAAAGCTAGGCTACTGTCAGGGGAAGTGTCACCATGTAGTTCTTGGGCTTTTCTGTAGCAGCAGGAACACTGGGGAAAATGGAGTTTTAACTTGGTCATGTATGGCTGTCCTTTACATTCTTATGACTGACAGTCATGTTTAATTCCTGCCCAGCTCAGAACTTACCTTTCAGTTTCCTGTGTTTGTCCAGAAACCACCGTGGAGCCATCAGACAGGTGGTAGGTGCCATTTCCTACCAGCCTGCACTGTTTCAGTCTGCACATGGACAAACAAGCTCTCTGGAATCCATTACTGTTTTCCAGTAGCAGCTTCCTGCTACTGCATGGGTTTGCTGGCAGCCTCTGGACAATGTTTATATTCTTATCCTTGTATCAATGTACTAAGCCACTGGGATATCAGTATAGATTTTGAACTTCTATGACTCCTTCCTATAGCAGAAGGAAAGCAAAGCCAAGTCCTTCCATCAATGGTGATGGATCCCAGTGTAATTAAGTGAAATATCAGCTTGCAACATCTCTTCCTCTGAGCCAGGCAGCAAAGGTCACCAGCATCAGTTCCAGATCACAAGATTAGAATCCCCTCCTTGTTTTAAAGAAGTGGAATAACCTGACCTCATCACTACAACCTCAGGACACACGGGGAGCCTCCACAGCAGTGCTATGATTGTGCTGTGTCACAGAACTCACACACCCAAGCCCCCACAGCCCCCACAGCCATACCTCTGTTTCAGGCCGTGGAATGAATACTGGGGGTCTCATCTTCAGGGTCAGGTCCTGGAAGTCCCACTCACCAAGCACATACTGCACTGGCATCCTGTGGCAGGCAAGAACAAGTGTGAACACCTGGACACACACCTCACTGCTGAGCTCACACCTCACTGCTGAGCTCACAGCCCTTCTGAGGGGGAGCAGCTGCACCCCCCAGGCTCAGCTCTGTGAGCAATGTGCACATGCACTCTGGGGGAGCTGCGTTCCCACAGCTGAGTTTGTTATCAGGTACCCGACCCAGGGAACTACAGGTCAGTCAGCCTTACATAGATAGCGGGGAAAGCGATGGAACAAAGCAGCCCTAGAGACTGCTTCCAAACACAGTAAGTACAGGAAGGGAACTGGGCGCAGTCAGCACAGATTTAGTAAGGGGATATCATTCCTGACTGACCTGGTAGCCATCCATGACCAGTTTGGTGCACGAGGAGAGCAATCAATAAATACTGTGTATCTCGACTTTCCCAAGGGCTTTGATACTGTATCCCATAACTCCCTCGTATACCAGCTGAAGTACAGACTCGACAAACGAGATGGACTGAAACCGGACTGAACTGTGAAGCCCAGAGGGCTGAGCTCAGCAGAGCAAGGCTCAGGTGAAGGCTGATCACCAGTGGAGTACCCCGGGGTCAACAGGGGGGCCAATACTGCATTAGGACCTTTGTTAGTGACCTGACAGAGAGCACCCTTGGCATGTCTGCAGGTGACAGAAAATTGGGAGGAGTGGTTAACAGACCAGATGGGTGTGCTACTTTCCAGAGGGACCTCTGGAGAAATGGGCTGACAGGAATCTCAAGAAATTCAGCAGGGTAATATGAAGCCCTACAAACAGGGAAGGAATAACCCCATGCACCAGTACAGGCTGGGGGCTGACCAGCTGGACAGCACCCTTGCAGGAAGGGCCCTGGGGATCAGGTGGAAAAGTTTTGCCTACCACTTTAATCACCACTAGAGACCAACACAGCACTGTTACTTGACATCTGAGCTGCTGTTGTCTGCTACCATTCTTCTGGCTGATTTAAGGCTGAAGGAAAACCCTCTGAAGGAACAACTGTAAGAGGATGCTCTTACCTTTCTAGTCGCCTGTTGCTCAGCTGCTGGATTTGCTCCTGCTGCATTGCTGTAAGTGGACTGTGGAGGCTTTTGGAATTCAGGCTCTGAAACTGAAGACAAAGTCACTTTAAAACCTGCCCCCTTGTGCCACTGGGGTGTCCTCTGCCACCCTGCCAAGGGCATCCTCCAGGGAGGTCCAGGGCATTGACAGTCACATATACCTGGGACTGCTGGAAAGCCCAGGTGATGAACAGGACCTATCAGCATGTTTAGAAACAAACCCATACAACTGTTCTGCTACTTTTTGGGGCTCACAAGAATAAGTAAAATTAAGAATCACTTCATCAGGCAAAATCGGGGTAAATGTGTATGTCATGGGTTAAATTTCAGTCCCTGCAAAGGACAGCATTTAAGAGGCCCCAAGTGCTGTGCTGGCAATAATAAACTATGGCTCACCCTCTCTGCCATTTAAGGAAAGATAAGTTGTTCTATTCCCTACAAGTGAGATAAAACCGAAGGTAAGGGATTCAATCAAAATGACAAAGTGAGAGGCAAGCACAGACCTAATTCTTTTCTTATTACTTAACTGTTTTTGCTCCCAGAACAAATGACACAATGTATTGACTGGATTCTCGTGCTTCGGGGATCCCATTTATCTCAAACACCTTCTGCCAGTAGTTGACCGTATCAGCGGCAGTCAGGAGCCCAGGTCCTGCACTGCAGCTCTGCCTCAGAGACAGCTGGTTTGGACTGAGGACACCAGCTTCGCTTGGACTCCATCGCCCTGGCACGTGCTGAGGTGAGAGGCTCAACAACCTCCTGAGCAGTGGATGGCTGAGGCATCTCATTGTTGTGCAGTGTCTGGTTTCCACACGTGTTCCTTGTTGCCACCTGCTGATCCAGTCAGTGCTGAGGCTCCCAGGACACCCGGTGCCAACACCAGCCACTGTGGCTGAGCACCAGCTGACCACAGTCAGTGGGTTCTCCTCGGGGAAACGTGACAATGGCACCGTTTTGCAGCTCTTCTGGTCTAGAAAACAAGGCAAGAGAACAGGTTGAATTCACCAAATCACAGATTCCCCTCTGACAGAACACAGACTGTTTGCCCTAACCCCTGCCCACGGGTATAAAACCAACTACTCCCAGCCTAAGATTACACCAAAAAAAGACTCAGGTGACAGCCAACCAGCTCTATCACTGCAGTCCACTACTCCACAGGTCAGAGGCCAGTCCTTGCCCACAGCAGGGCAGAAAGAAGCTGCCTACAGAGGCACAGCACTCCTGCCTGTTCTTGCTCCCAAAAAGCCACTGACGTACTAACCTGCAGCTCCAGCCCTTGGCTCTCCACCCCACAGATCACCCTGGCTCCCTGCAGGAAGAGCTTCAGTCTCTCCCCAGTTCTTTCTTTTACTCCTCTCTCTGCTCATAAACCCCAAGTCCTAGGTTAGCAGGGGTGCTCACAGAAGACCTGGACTCAGTGGGTCAAGGGTCTTCCACACTGTCACTGTCCCCAGAGGACAAACAAGGGGTCACAGGGCCAGAGCTGAGCTAAGGGCAGAGAAAGGAAAAAAACTCACAATGTAACAGAGGGAAGAGAAACACTTGGAAGATGGAAAGGCCAGAAAGGGTAAACCCTGCCAGAGGGAAGTCAGTCTCTTAAAAGAGAGAAGAAGCAGAGCCAGACAGAGAGGGAATAAAAACAAACAAGATGACTGCAGGAGACAAAGGAAATGAAATTTTACAAAACAGCTGCTGCATATCACACTTGGAACAGTGGGAAACAAACAGAACAACAACCACATTTTCCTGCTGTGATCCATCTGAAATGAGGGCCCCCCCCTTCCTTCTGACTCACAGCCCCTGGAGCCACTGTGGGTTTCCCTGAGAGCCCATTTCCATTCCTCTGTTGATGGCTGCTTTTCAACACTGTCTGGGAGAGGCCACAACCTCCTCTACTCCAGTTGAGAAAGGCACCACACAGCTAAATCCCTCTCCTGAGCAGCTGGCAGCACCCAGAGCGGCTCCCTGCCCCACAGGAGTGCTGCTGCAGGGACAGCTGGGGATGCCAGCTCTGCTCCAGCCTGGCAGACGCTGGCACCACAGCCATGCTCCGTGGGGCACCTGCCCTGCTCCTGCTGCACAGCAAAACCGTGGGACAGTTAGGCCTCCACTGCTCTCCTCTGTAATATCAGAGCCCAGAAGGAAAACCCTGCAGCAAAGATCTCCAGACTGGCTCATCTGCCTCCTGGCAAAGGGGTGGGTGCTGTAAGAGCTCAAGAATCCCCTCCTTACCCTCTGCATTACTCTCAGCAGAGAGACAAACAGTCCCTATGAAACTTGCCTTTATGTTAAGCATAAGCAGTCTCTCAGATACAGTGTTTACCCAGGCAGCTTCCCACTCCAAGGCCCCGTTTAGGGGATACTGCCACAAGGGGAGCACTAAAGGACTAAAACATTAACAAGCATTAGTGTTGTTAGGGAGGCAGAGAAGACCTTAATTGACCATAGCTGGAACAATGCTGGCATTACTGGCATTATTAATCACAGAATCCTTGGGGTTAGAAGGGAGTTCTGGAGAATGTGGAGTCCAACCCCACTGCCAAGGCAGGGTCACCTGGAGCACGTAACCCAGAAGACATTTAGGAGGGTTTGGAATGTCTCCAGAGAGGGAGTCTCCACTACCTCCCTGGGCAGCCCATTCCGACATCCAGTCACACTCTCTGTGTAGCACTTCTTACTGTCCCACTTAAACCTCCCCTGGCGCAGATTAAGACCGAGCCCTCGTCTCATTGCTGGTTACCTGGGAGCAGAGCCCGATCCCCACCTGGCTACACCCTCCTGTCAGGGAGATGTAGAGAGTGGTAAGGCCATCCCTGAGCCTCCTCTTCTCCAGGCTGAACACCCCCAGCTCCTCACAGGACCTGCGCTCCACAGAGCCCCGCCGGACCGGCACGCGGCCGCTCCTCCCGGCCTTCCCTGCACACCAAGGCCGGGTGGGGAGGTGTCCCTTGGCCTGAGGGGCGGCGGGGCCCGGGGGCTGCTCTGAGGCGAGCGCGCGCACAGCGACGCCTCACCTCACGGCCACCGTCACCGGCAAGGCCCGGGGGCGCAGCCGGCTCCCTCCGGGAACTCGGCCGGGGCGCGGGCAGGGCCGTGGGCAGCCGGGCAGGGCCGTGGGCAGCGGGGCAGGGCCGTGGACAGCCAGGAGCCAGGCCCGGTGCCGGGGCAGGGCCGTGAGGGAGCGGCCGCGCGTCCCCAGCGTCCCCAGCGCTCCCACCGCCTCGCGAGCGCCCCGCGAGCGCCCCGCCCGCCGCGCGCCTGAGTGACAGCCGGGCGCCGCGCGCCTGACCAACCGCGAGCCGAGCCCCGCGCCCGCCGGCCAATGGGCTGAGGCAGCTCGCGACGGGGCGGGGCCAGCGGCGGCGCGCGCGAGGCCGTGAGGCGCGGTCCGGCCCGGCCCGGCCCCGGGCGCGCCCCCGCGGCCGCTCCGCCCGCGCCCCGCGGGCACCGGACGCCTCGGCGGGGAGCGCGCAGTAAGTGCCGGCCCTGGCGGGCGCTGCCGCCCCGGCGCGGGGGCACCTCCGCGGGCGGGGAGGGGCGGGCTGGGCCGGGCCGGGCCGCGGGGGCGTCCGGCCGCGCCGTCCCGTCCCTCGGGCGCAGCGGGGCCGCCGCGACCTCTCGGCCTCGCCTGAGCCCCGGCGGGGCGGCGGCACCGGCACCGCGCGAGGAGCCGGCGGCGAGCCCCGGGCTGAGCCGGCACCGCCCGGGCAGCGGGAAGGGCCGCGGGACCCGTTATCCGCCTGGGAACTCCTTCCCGGGATGGGGAAGGAGCGGCTGCCGCGGGGATGTAGCCCCCGGGGTGGCACTGCCCGCACAGGGACAGGGACGGGGCGGGCGCTGCTGCTCCAGTGTCAGTGCGGGGTCAGAGAGCGGTGACATTGCTGGGGAGGGTCCCCGCGCCGGGGCCGGGGAGGGATGGGAGCGTGGCCCCTGTCCCACAGCCGGGGGCGACAGCGGGAACACGGGTCGGGGCTCCCCCCTGCCCTGCAGCCTGGTCAGCGCTGGGGCAGAGGGAGGGGAAGCCAAAAGTTCACGCACGGGGAAGCCACATCCCGTTGCCAACAGCAACCCAACGCCGCTTGCACTGCAGAATTACTAGAGCCACTTCATCGTGGTGAAGTAACGCAGGAAAAATGCTAGTTAATCTTTGCCTTCTTCACCCAGCGACACCGTGACCCATCTTCATCCCTGTGACACAAACCTCTATTCCTGTCACACCCGAAATGACAGGGCAGCACAGAGAGACTAAAACCAAGACTCAGAAGAGCCTCAAGTTAGTGCCCGAAACAGTGTTCTGCATCTCAGACGTGTTGGCCACCGCAGCACCCACCAGAGATCAGTTTGGAAATGCTGGCTTAGGAGAGAAACAAATGCCTTCTCCTTATTCCCAGACCCAGCAGAGAGCTCAGCACAGAGCAGTCCTGGCTGTGTGAGGAGCTCTGCTGGTGCAGGCAATGGATCAATGCCAGCTCGCAGCAGCTGAGGATCTGGTTGCTCTTCTATTTGTGCATGGACTGTGCTAAATCCTGCCAGTGATAGGTAGTATCTGTCCCTGGCCCTAAAGCCCTCAGAGACTTGGAGTGTGCCCAGCCTGTAAATCAAATTTCCAGCACTCCAGTGACAATGGGGAAAGGAAGGTGGTGGGAAAGATCATCCACCCCCAGCTCTACTGTGTGAGCCCTGGGCCATCCTGGCACTCAGCCTCCCTATCTGGCCCTCTGCAACCTGGACCACAAGGGGGCTTGGGAACAGAAATATCCCCACCTGGACCTGGACCTGATTGTCTAAGTCAGAAAACTTCCATACAGAACTGCTTCTAGAACTCGGTCTGTGGGCTTGGGAATCATCAGCATGAACAGGACCCTGGGAGTGTGAACGAGAGCCCCTGTTCTCACTAGACCAGATTTTCAGCTGGCTCATTTTAACCTAGCCTAACTTCTTTGGATTTCCAAAACTGACACTTCATTGAACTGAAAGCCTAACTCATTTTGTTTCTAAAGTTCAGGAGCTGTTCATCATTTAGAGCAAAAGCTCTCTGCAAAGCCCTTGGGCCTGCTTCACTCCTTTCACTTTTTCAATTTTTTATTTCCTTCGTAGCGACTTTTTTAAAAATAGGTATTATCATCATGGAGACTTTCCCTGAATAGCACAGATTGATGGATTCTGTCTGAGCAGCTGCTTGATCTGCTCAATAATTCCTTCCCTTTCCCTGCTGGGCTGTAGGTGCTGCTGCTGCTGTTGTGACACTGATTTCAAACTTGCCACCTTTGTGCCCCAGTGTCCACTACAGCTGAGCTCTGCTGTGGTCAGGGATGGCTAGGGATGTCCAGGTGGTTTAAAGCAGGTGCCCATGGTCTGGTGGTCAGTGAAGGACACAGTCCCTTTCAGCTGCAATGAACTCGTGACTCAGCACGACCTTAGGAGGGACCAGACCAGAACTGCTGTAACTCACCTTTCTCTAGAAACTCTTGGGAGTTCGACAGCTCCCACAGTCTCCCAGGCACTTCAAAATCCCCCTTTGCTTCACAAAGTTGTTCTCAGGGACCTGTGAGACAAACCCTGCATGTATGGCAAGACATTTACCTGCTCGGGGAGATGCAGGACGAGTCAAGGTGGCTGCTCCAGCTGCTGACTGACCACAGGGCAGCCTGGTGCTGCTTTCCTGGTGTGATTCCTCTGCTTCAGCAGTTAGTGACAGATGTTAATCACGCTGTGAAATGCAGTTGTGGGCAGCAGTAAGGCATCACAGTATGGGAACTGCACAGTAACCTTGCCTGGAATAGAGCAGAGTGGAGCAGAACAATGGCTCATTTCTCTTTGCAGGCACATCTTTTTCTGTTCAGAGCTCATTAACCCCTCTGTCCCAGCTGCATTCCAGCCCAGACATGTAATGTCTGCTAAACTGCAGAGAAGTTACCAGAGAACTGCTACAGTACTTCCTGGGGTCAGCTCTGCTCCAGAGTTAGCTGCATTTTCATGGAAGCACCTCCATGAAGCATAATGTTATATACAGTGGTTTTATAAACAAAGTGTGCAAATACTTTCCACAGGCTCATCCCACAGCATTTTGCAACTCCTGATCATTTGCACAATAGAAGCCTGAAGCAATTAAAGCCTTTTATGCTCTCAGCATGAATAGATCTATCAAATTTCACAACTCCAATCCAAAATTGGACTAACTTTAAAATTAATACTGATAATTACCAGAGCATGACTAAGCTTGAGTGGGTTCTTTCCTGGGGGATTTGAAAAAAACTCAGTGTCTTTAGTAGCATGGGGGACCAGTGCAACCCACAGTTTCCAGAGCACATGGGATACCACCAGTGACTAGCACAACAAAGAGCTCCTACTTTGGATTCAATAAAAAGCATCCTGAGATATGGATGCCTCACAGCTGAGTGTCATTTTATTGGATATGTTCCCACTGATATGTGTAACTTTACAAAAATTTCCAAGAGAAGAAGCAGGAAAATGCTGTGTCTCCTGGGGCAGATAGAGACCACCTGGTTCAGGCTGGGCCAGACCAAAGACAGGGGTTCTGAAGTTGTCCCCACATGGATCTGCCAAGTGCCTGCAAGGAGGCAGAGCTGAGCAGTGAGGGGAGAGTTATTGCTGACTTAAGTGAATCAAGCTTTGGGGGCTCTCAGTACCCCTGAAAAATCTTTTCCTTATTTTGAGTCGACATTCAGAAACTGTCCTGGTGATTTGGGGAACTGTAGAAAAGGCTTTGCCCATCTCCAAGAGCTCTGCACTGTTCATCTGTTCTCATTCTCTCCTAGGCAGAATCCAGTGTGGTTCCTATGAAGGAAGCCCATCAGTGGTGATGCTCCAGGACAGCTCTCACGTGAGGGTCCTCCACAGGAAGGGCAGCTCTGCACTCTGATGGGTGAGGACACCAGCTGGGTGACAGGAGCTCCCAAGAGCGGGCAGGATGAGTTACAGCTCACCCTCTGTGCACGACTTGTATCACAGCACCCCCACCACAGCCAGGCCAGACCCAGGGACAGCTCTGGATGTGACTGTGCCAGAAACAGCCACCATAAGCCCTGAGACTACCAGCTTCAACAGCACCAAAATCCCAGATGTGGCCAGCACTGGAGCCGGCATGAGCACGATGCTGCTGTCCTTTGGGATCATTACTGTGATTGGGTTGGCTGTAGCTATGGTAAGAGAGCCCAGCTAAATAATCCTCTGTCTCTTGAGGGTGGAGGGTGGCAAGGGGTTCTAGGACTGATTTGGGTTGAATAATTAATTTGTATTCTACTAAAGACTCACCCAGAACTGCTAAGTATTGATAGTTCCTGAGATCCCTTTTTTTTAAAGCCTTTATCCAGTGCTCCAGTATTTCTGCAGGTCCTGAAGTCTCCAAACAGGATGCCCAGCAGGCCTAGAAGAAGCCTTATGTAGTTATTTGTTTTTCCTAGCAATAGGAAGTTCAATTAAAAGAACACAAAGCAGATATTCTGTTCTGACTTGTTACCTGAAACAGTTGCATTGATTTAAACCTTGTCAACACTGGGGACCTGCAAGAAAGTTCATCCAAATTAACTTTTACAGCAGACTGTTGAAACCATGTTGATCTCCCCTGTGGACATGGGGTAATTGTTTCTGAATTGAAGTGGCCTGAATCCATCCTAGCGAGACTCACTCTGGACTGCACGTCCCAGGCTGTGCTTGCTGGGTATCCGTCCTTGAGGGTTTGCTGTGTCACTAACCTTGCCATTAATGCTGTGGGCAGCAGCTTTCAGAAACCACAGTTTCGGGCCCAAAACAGGCAGTGCAAATGCTGTAGTTGTTCTTCTGATGTATAACCAGATCGTTTCCCTGCCAACAGAGAAGAGGAGGGAGCAGCAAGCTCCCATTCCTCATACGAGGAAGGGCTTCACTAACACAACCAGCAGAGGAGCCTACTGCAAAATTTCATTGCAGGCCCCGGGAGGAGTTTTTCCAAAAGCCCCTAAGAAAACCTGGAAACGGTCAT